AATATATATTCAGATAAATTTTAAGAGTTTAAATTAAATATATACATATAAATTTTCTATTTTTCTTAAGTTAAATATAAGAATATATAGGGCCTATATATAATTTATTTAGTAAACTGAATAAAGTTTGGAGAAATGTATAGATTAAGTGGAAAAATGTTAAAAAATATATGACACAAATAGAAAACATTTATAAGATTTATATATATTAAGATTAATTATTGATGAGTTAGTGTTGCTGTATATAATCTTTCGATGCATTGCAGCTATCCAGGAAATCTGTCTGCAGTGATGCGGACAATGACTTTACTGTTCATTCACCTTATCTTCTGAAGTGTTTAGAGCTGAGTTTATTTAAGGCTAAAGCTTTTGCCAAAATATGTTAAAACAGGATATCGATTTTTGCTTCGAAAACTTGAAATTTTTATATAAATGTCCTCAATCTAAAAATGGAATTCATACTCTGAGGTATATCGCAAGTAAGGAAGAAGCAGGGGTAGAAAAAAAAAATGTGTTTTCTCCATTAACATCGAGCTTGAACATATCTTACCTAAGTTATTTATATCTCTTTAACTAAATAGTATACTTATTCGATATTATTTTCTAATATTTTATATACATAAGAATGTTTTCTTTTATAAAAAATCTTTAAAAATTTATTATACTTATTTTTTATATTATTTAACGTTGAAGTATAATAAATTAATTCGTAAAGAGAACGTTTATAATTTTTTATTGCAAATTGTTTTATTAAATAAATAATAAAATTAAATTTAATCAAAGCTAAAAATATATAATAACTCATGTTAAAATTTATAAATATTTATAAAGATGATCTCAACTTTTAACTTTCGTATATATGCAATAAATTAGAATAAAATTTAACATTTACAACTTAAAAAATCATTAAGAAAATTATATTTTAAGGTAATAAATATCATAAATTACAGGTAATTTACCTTTATTCTTTACTTTTCGTTTAAGTTTAAAAGGGTCAGGTCAATCTACAGTAATTGGATCATTAAAGTTGTTGTAACAAAAGTTTTTAGTCGAAATTTACTCAAGACAATATAGGTAATGTTAGAAGTAAATAAAACGAAGAAGAAAAAAACTCATTTAGTTTAACCTTGGATCTATTGGCACAATTCCATCAGGCACCATTGGCTTATGATAAAAGTAAAAAGGATGAACGGAAACAAATCTTAACTTAATAGAATTCCATTCCGATCAATTTTTATAAAGTTGAAATGCTTCAATGATTTTTCGAACATTTTTGCATGAAGGTCTTTTTTTTATATTATTATTATTATTATTTTTCTGAAATGAAACTCCTGTTTTTCTTTTATTACAAAATTNGATAAATTAATGCGTTGTACTTGTACTTCATAAAATATAAATAAAATTATTGAATAAGAATATTAAAATATTCATTGTAACGAGTTTCTGAAGCAGTTTTACATTAGAGCAAGTGAAACATCTGATCGATATTTGTGTCTCTTCCTTCAATGGTTGTTCGTATGGTCTCAAGGTGAATATTATAAACCATACTGAATATGCTCTAGGATGTTTTTAAAGTGGTATTAAATCTAAAAAAAAACAAAAAACAAATAATTTTTATAGCAGAATTTACGAATGTTCAGAAAAAAAAGGAATTAATGCTTTAGATTTAGTAAAAATTAATCCATTAAATCTACTCATTTTAAATTGTAATAATTGTTTTATTGTAATTACATCGATTTTGTTTAAAAGGATTTAATTACAATAAAATACTTTTGTGCATTTAAATTTATTTATTTATTTTTATTTTATTTTATTATCGAATCATTGGTAAATGTGCTTTAAAATAGGTTTAAATTCTGAAAAATCGGAGGGCTTTTTGTTGCTTTTTTTAAAATGTGTTTTAAACATTTAAAGCTGTAAATTTATTAAAGTATCATTTTATATAAGAGTTTAATTATAACAAATGTATTTAAATGCATAAAAATATGAAATAATTAATTTATTTTATTATATTACAGAATTACATGTATATTTTTACATGTAATTTTGAATTTTACTGTAAATATATATATAAATTCTTTTTACTTTATTTTTATTTTTATGGCTTTTTATAAAAAAAAATTTATAAAGTATTTAAATTTCCCAACTGATAGATCGCGACTATTGAAGATGTTTTCCATTATTTTGTAAAGGAATGCCTAACGAAAAAAAGTTGAGAAATATTGAATTAGAATAATAATTCGTGATGAGTTATGGAAAATTATTAAGTTGAATGTACTCTGTTGTAGCAGAATTAATTACAAAGCTAGTTTATCAAACATTCAACATAATATGTTATTGAATCGATGAATAATACATTATATTCCCATCTAATATTCCCTATGGTTTCATCAAAATATAATATAATATAGAATCCATTTGTAACGTACATATTGTTCAATAACTTTTCGTTTAATATGTCTTTATTAACGTGATTTGTCAACCGAGATTGTCTTTATGGACTTTGATGTGTAGTATTACAGAAAACTGACATCTTTGATTATAATTTGTGTGATACTTTCTGTTATAAAAATGAAAAAAGAAGAGTTATAAAATAAAAAAATAAAAATAAAAACTTATTAGATAAATATTTACTTAACTATTATATATTTTAACACAATAAATTAAAATTATGTAGCTTATTATTACACTTATNAAGCACGCAACAGCTAGCTTCTAAAAAAAACCTTCTTTAAAGTTAATCTATCATTTTATTTATTTATTTACCTGTAACTTACAGCTATAGCAAGTACATTCTTTGTGCTTGATGTGTTTGCAGTGAAATGGTTTATTTCATTTCTCGCGGGTTGAAAGCAATAACTTCCAGACATTTCAAACAATCAAGAAAACTTTAAGAAGTATTGGAAGGAATACGTTATACGTAGGTTGCTTGACTTTTTACTGCAAGTTTTACGAGTAATTCTCCTAAGCAGGTGGGAATTCTCT